TACGTATATTCTTTTGTAAAAAGGTTTCGAGATTATCAGTAAATCTGGGATGATCATAAATCCTCGTTGAAATTCAGGCCTGCCCTGTATCAGTGTTGCGTAAGTGGTAACGTCTCGAGACTGCACTACTCAGGTTCGAGTCCCGCTGGGGGTGTTGATAACACCAGTTCAGGAAGTCTAAATGCAATCCAGCCTGGCTTGAATATCAAGACTTAGCAAAAAGCAAGACTAAGTGGAATCCAACAGAAGCATAAGTTCTAATTTAAGAATTATTGATAGTCTCAAATGCAACTCATGTCGAAATTGGGAAACGGTCAGTCTACACAAGGCCAGAGTCCAACTGGAAAGGAAGACTCAGCGGGATACAAGTCAGAGAGGAATTCAGCAGCTCAACTCACAGTTGGCAACTCAATTAACACAAAATAAAAATGGGTTTGGAAGAAGGAAGAGTTGGTTGTAAGGAATTAGGTAAGACTGGGACTTATTTGCACAATGCAACACTCCAGAACAATCCTACTCCGGTCTACGGTGAGGTCACTTCAAAAATGCCTTCAGACCAACTTTTCCTATAAAATATAAAGTCACGTCTCATCATAGACCTAATCCCTTCTTCATGCACTTTCATGCGAAATGTAAGTCTCACCAACAATGTTAGCTTATGAGAGTCATCGAAACCCACTCACTCTTCGTACCGACAATAATAAATGTTGCAGGATGATGAGTTGAGTACGTCGTGGTACAGAACCACGGTCACAACTCCAAGGCACTCCCACTCCGGTTTCAAATGAGACTGATTTACAGATCCTTTCCACATCTTTTCCAACTGAATGAAGGGCATAGTAACATGAATCTATTAAGATAGCATTAAAAGCCCAGCATGTATTCTTACTACATCGCACCCTTTAACGCGGGCTAATTTAGGCATGATCATCTTCACCAGCGACATCAATCTCGTATGTAAGGCTTCCTGGCACCAATTGATACCTCCACTCGGCGACCTTCTTTTCCCAACTACTGTCAGCCGGTCAATCTCTTGCCATGGAGAATTCATGGCTTATCCAAATGGCAAACAACACTCTCTTGAGCTCGGCCACCGAGTTTATATGATCAGCCCCGAGTGTGCGCTACGAGGACGGTTGGCAAAATCGTGATTTTCACACAAGCTGTCCTCTTCAGTCCCATTCCACTTGCGATCACGATTTCACGCGTACTACTGTCATAGTGATCGTGATACCTACAAGCGCCGGACAGTAGACTTGACAATTGATAAACTTATCTATTGACACTTCAAGGGGAGAAGTTAAGAGCTGGCGAAACGTTTAGAAATGTAACCAACCAATGATTCAATGCTGGAAATCACGAATGCTATGGCGGAGGACATGGGACTAGGTACGTTCCACAAAGTCTCCCTGTCGCTCCGACCAAGTTGCAAAAACAAGGCCGAGCCAACACAAGAAATCGTATGTTTGGCATAAGATGTCACCAATAAAAGCCCTATAAAGGCCTGGCTTCGACTCACGTTGGAGGTGGAGATGAGACCAGTTTATGCCAGACTGGACGAGAATACATTTTAGGAGGTAAGACCATTTGGAATTCAATGACATTGCAAGACCTGCTCAATAAATTGTAGGTAATTCAACTAACTATCCTGCATCACCGTATCCGACCTAGGGTTAACACACTATTCAAGTTGAAATCACTTTGATCCAATAAGAAGCTACATCCTCTCTGCCTTGACGACCACTAAAAGCGAGTTGGCTCAGCAATGACGAACAAGAGGTTAGAGGGAAAATACAAATCAAGCGGTGGCGACTGGTGGTCGACTAATGTGCATGTGCGTGTGTGTGCATGTGTGTGCATGTATGTATGTATGTATGCATGTATGTATGAATTTATGTATGAATGTATGTATGTATGTATGTATGTATGTATGTATGTATGTATGTATGTATGTATGTATGTA